GACACTGTCCCTGCAAATCATCATCTTCCAGAACCCATCAAGTCTTCTCTTGCAGAGATCAAGTCACCATTCAGAGGAAGAACTTGTGGCCAAGTGGAACACGCTTTCCAGGAAAGCTGTACCTAATCTTTAAGGCTTCTTTTCCATTCACTATGCAAAGCAACAGCAACTACAGGCACATTACACCACAAGAAAGCCACTGGTTTTGGAGAGGAGCACACATCCCTTTCTTCTATCCCAGGACTGATCCAGAGCTCAGCCCAGTTCCACACCACCCTATGAGAGGGAACCACACCAGCAAACCTTAACAGCAACTTATTCACACAAGTCTCCAAGAGCATTCCAAGAACGACAAGAGCATCCTTACCTGACTCAGTGCACAAGTAGGAATAAAACCCTTCTGCTTTCAGCATGATGAGAAGGGACCCCCAGCCCAGCAGGACAGCAGAGAAGAGCAGGTTCTCGATGATGGCTGTGAACGCCATCCACCAACGCCGGCGATGGGCGGTAGCGAGTGTGGGCGCCATTGCTGTGTGAGAAGATGGCCTTGTCCAGAGTCTCAACCTGCAGGGACCAGAACAATGTCTGTGAGTTCACAGACACAGCACGTGCTGCTCAACAAGAGTGCAAAAAACATAGTTTAAGAGGAGATCTCTCCGCTGGAACATAAGCAAACCTGTTTGCTGAATGAAAGGCACTCGAGTGTAAAACTCATTTTTGCAGGTATTGGCTTGCTGAGTGACCTGGAGGGATCAGGGAGCTGAGATGCCCTTGGAGTAGCCCCTCCAGTGCACACACCACGCGACAGAGGAACGTTCAAGGACTCCGTTCCACTTCCCGAGCAACAGGTATGAAAATGCAGCAAATAGCTGCCCAGAGCCCACTGCTCCATCACTTACAGGCCTCAGGCATTTGTAAGGCAGCGAGGAAACACATGCCAAAGTGAGGGGCTCCAGCCAGCACCCCAATCTCCTGGCTGCCTGCAGGTAGAGGCAGGGTCCGGGAGAGGCAGCCCCACAGCCCTAAGGGTGGCTTTAGTGACCCCCCAGGTCTGCCCTGACCCACACAGGAGAGCAGATCAGCTCTGGAAGGTGAGCATGGGTCCTTCATGTACCATAGGTCCTATATATGCAGTTGACACCAAGATAATGAGTGCTTTTGCTAATTGCCCAATCACCCAGCTGGGAGATGAGGTAGGACACATCCTGCCCTGTCCTAGCTGTGCAGACAGCCAGATGCACTGGCCAGGATGGCACATGCTGCTCCACCTCAGCACACTGGCATCCCCAGGCTGCCCCACAGATGCTGCTGCCAGATTAATTATCTCCAACTCCACCTGTTCCAGTCCCTGGGGCCCACAAGAGCGAGCAGCAGGTTTGGGATCAGACCCGGCTGGCCAAGGGGCTGCTCTGGGGAGCCCTGAGGTGCCCAGCACCAGGGCCAACCCTGGGTCATAAGGCAGGTGGCCATTTTAGACAAGCTGAGCCTTTTCCCAGCCCTGATCAGGCACTGTGGGGAAATCAGCTGGTTACACACCACAGCCCAAGGCAGCTTCTGAGGGGTCTCCACAAGGCACAGACCCCCACCCCGGGTTGCTTTGGGAGGGGTGGGGACCTGGCCAGCT